CCTCGCACAGAAACGAAGACCCAGCACAGCCATAAATAAATAAATAAATAAATACATTGTGTATTATTTAAAAAAAAAAAAAAAAGCAAACCAATACTACAGATACATATATAGCTACACATATATAGCAGAGGAATCAAAACATGCATACAAATGATTCAAATCAAATTCACGATAGCGGTTCTTCTGGTGAGGGAGTGGAATGGGCTTGGGAAAGGTACACAGGGGACTTTAATTATATGTACAATTTTATTTCTTTAAGAAACAAAGGCCCAAACCAAATGTGGCAAAATATTTAGTCCAGATAAAGCTGGCTGATGATTACAAGGGTATTAGATATATTATTCTCAAAACTTTTTCATAGGGACTTCCCTGGTGGTCCAGTGGTTAAGAATCCGTCCTGCAATGTGCAGGACGCTGGTTCAATCCCTGGTCTGCGAACTAAGATCCCACATGCCGCAGGGCAACTAAGCCCGCGCCACAGTTACTGAGCCTGCTCGCTTTGGAGCCCGCACGCCTGTGCACCGCAGCAAAGAGCCTGCACGCCGCAACAAAAGATCCCGTGTGCGCAACTAAGACCCAAGGCAGCTAATAAATATTTAAAAAAAACCTTTTTCATATACTTGAAATAAATGTTGAATGAGGTAAGGAATTTTCTGACTAATTTCAAAACGCGTTGTAAAAATGTAGATACTGTCAGTTATCCACTGTTTGGCTGTTATCGCTGTTATGCTTTATCCGTCTATTATGACACTTAACACATACTTTATATTGCAGTTAGGTTTATACAAATATGTCTCCTGCAGTAGATTAAACTGTGGCAAGTATCTTATTCCATTCTTTTATCCCTGAAGATGACAAGCATAATATCCTGTATATAACAGGCCCCCAGGGCTTCCCTGGTGGCACAGTGGTTGAGAGTCCGCCTGCCAATGAGGGGGACGTGGGTTCGTGCCCCGGTCCGGGAGGATCCCACATGCCGCGGAGCGGCTGGGTCCGTGAGCCATGGCCGCTGAGCCTGCGCGTCCGGAGCCTGTGCTCCACAACGGGAGAGGCCACAACAGTGAGAGGCCCATGTACTGCAAAAAAAAACAAAAACAAAAACAAAAACAAAAAAATAACAGGCCCCCAAAGAATGTTTATTAATGAACAATGAATGAATCTAAATGGCTTGGACAGTTTTATCTGAACTCTTGTGTTATAACTCTCATAAAGACAACAACTGCAATGCTAGACAATGATTTACTTTATTAATTCTTCTTTGTAGATTATACAAACTGATGTGACATCTTTTTCCTGCTATAAAAGCAATGTAGAGGATTGCTTTGTTTAAGTAAGTAGTGTTTGATTTAACTAACATTGAGTGCTGGTTTGCTGGGGTTGTGGCTATCATATTCATCCTTATTGTTCTTAGTGCCTATTATAGAGCCTAGTAGACAGTAGATCTTCAAAAGATATTTGTTTAATTGATCAATAAATACAAGGTGCAGGGATGGCATAGATGAGAGAGGCATAAACTCAGCCTGGGCAATGGATGAGGAGATGATTCTTGAGTTGGGTTTTGATGGATGAGTAGTTTTCCAGGGGAAGGAAAAAGAGGGAACAGTATGCATAAAGTTGTGAAATAATGCAACAGGTATTTTGGAGAACTACAAATAGTCTGATATTTTTTGAGATTTATAAACTACAAGACATGACCTCTGGGTGATATGACTGGCAATATAATCAGAAGAAAGCTCATTAAGTTAGGGAGGTTGGACTCTACCCTGCTTGGACAAAGGGGCACCACTAGAGGGTTTTAAAAAGGCTATAGATAACGCTCATACTTGCATTTTAAAAGAATACTCTAGTGTCAGTATGGAGGATGACTGGAGCAGAGTAGAACCAAAAATAGGGAGAACAATTAAATCTGGGAATTACCATAGTCAGACAAGAGATAATTGATCTTGGAGTGAGACGGTGAGTGGCATTGGGATGGGCAGAAGGTGTGTTTAAAAGAGATTTAGCTATCTGTGGAATACTATTTAGCAATGATAAGGAATAACATATTAACACACAACAACATGAATATAAAAAACGTTATATTAAGTAAAAGAAGTCAAACACAAAAGACTGTATTGTATGATTCTTTTCATATGACGTTGTAGAAAAGACAACACTATAGTGACAGAAAGCAGATTAGTGGTTGGTTGGGGTCAGGGTTGGGGAAGAGTAAACTACAAAGGAGGGCAGATTTTAGGATGGAAGAGCTAGTCCACAACTTGATTGTGGTCACACAATTGTACACAATTACCACAATTTGTCAAACTCCACACTTAAACTGGATGAATATATGTGAATAATACCTTGGTAAATTATTTTGAAAGGTGAAAAAAATGAGGCTTAGAACAAAAAAGATTTAGGAGGTTGAATCAATAGAACTTGATGAGTAAAAAGTAGTGTGTATACTTTGCTTTATATGGTGGCTGTGTTTCTAGAAAAGATCTGTAAAAATAAAATTTGAAATGCTCAAAGCGGGGTAATTCCCTGGCAGTCCGGTGGTTAGGACTCCGAGCTTCCACTGCAGGAGGCACAGGTTTGATCCCTGGTTGGGGAACTAAGATCCCACAAGTCGCAAGATGTGGCCAAAAAAAAAAAAAAAAATGCTCAAAAGGAGCTATTGAACACTTGGTAATTGTTTTAAAACTATTTTCTAATAGAGAATTTCAGACACATACAAAAGTTGACAGGATGGTATAACGAACCCCTGTATACTCAGCATCCAGATTTAACCATTGTCAATTTATGGCCAATTTTGTTTAATTTATACACCATTCTGCTCCCCCAAACTATTTTGAAGCAAATCTCAGATGTTACAAAATTTCATCTGTAAATATTTTAGCATGTATCTCTAATAAGTAATGACTTTTAAAAACATAACCACAATGCCATTATCATTAATTATATTCCTTAACCTCATCTAATATCCAGCTAGAGTTCAAATATCTATTTGTCTCATGAAGTTGTAAATTTTCATTTTTATAGTTTGTTTGAATCAAAATCCAAATAATTTTGATTATTGCAATTGATATACCTTCTAAGTCCTTTTATTGGTAAGTTTCCCTCTCCTTTTTTTCCCTTGCAATTTATTTGTTGACTAACCTGTGTGTTTCTTAATGTAAGAAACCCTTCTGTTACACAAATAACCACTTTCTACTTTAATGGGCTTTAAAATTTGGATTGTTTTATAATTATTCTTTTAATATTTTAGTTGCACTTGAATAATTTTTGATAAAGCCATAATTTGGTGACATAGGATTATCTCACCAAGTGTCCCAGTATGTTTTTGCTTTTGGCAGTTTGCCTCAAGGGCAATGATCCTATGACTTAGAGCACTGTTTGGGTATTAAGGCAGCCGTGTAACACTCACAGTTGTTTGCAGATCATCTGTTCTATCAGTGAAGATATCCAATCTTTCTTCTCTTTCCAAAATTTTATCGATATTTTGGGTCATAACATTTTTTACATCAGTTACTTGACTCTTCAGTGCGGATATCGAGCTGTCCTCTTGATTTTTATTGTATTTCATCTACACAGAAGTGAAATATAATATACATTTTATTTTCTATAAATGAAATCTATTGTAATATATTGTACAAATTAGAACAAAGGTGTCAAAGGCACATCTCACTTGTATTTCAGCATAAGGAATCAACTAAGCCTCAAACTGTCCTACCTTAATCATGCAGAAAAAATGGGGGGTGGCAGGAGAGGGAATATATCAATGTATTCAATCAGCAGTGGATTTTTAAAGAATTTAAATTGTATATTTATTTGAATAGACTTTTTTAGGTTCATGGTAAAATTGAGTGGTAATTACAGAGTTCCTGCATGCTCCTTACCCCCCATACATGCACGGCCGCCCTCACTATCAACATCCTGCGCTTGAGTGGTCCATTTGTCACAATGGATGACCCTATGTTGATGCATCATTATCATCCAAAGTCCATAGTTTCCATTAGGGTTCACTGTTAATATTGTACATTCAGTGGATTTTGACAAACATCTAATGACATGTTTTCGTCATTACAGTATCATACAGAACAGTTTCACTGCCCTTAAAATCCTCTGTGCTCCACCTATTCATACTTCCTTTTTCCCTTAGCCCTCGCAAAAACTGGTCTTTTTACTGTCTCCATAGTTTTGTCTTTTCCAGAATACCATATAGTTAGAGTCATACAGTATGCAGTGTTTTCAGATTGGCTTCTTTCACTTAGCAATGTGCATTTAAGTTTCCTCCATGTCTGTTCATGGTTTAATAGCTCACTTCTTTTTAGTGCTGAATAATAGTCCATTGTTTGGATGTACTGTAGTTTATTTATCCATTCACCTATGGAAAGACATCTTGATTGCTGCCATGTCTTTGCAATTATGGATAAAGCTGATATAATATCCATATACAGGTTTTCGTGTGGATATAATTTTCAACTCCTTTGGGTAAATACCGAGGAGCGCTATTGCTGGATCATATGGTAAGAGTATGTTAGTTTTGTAAGTAACTGCCAAATTGTCTTCCACAGTGACTATACCATTTTGCATTCCCATCAGCAGTGAATCAGAGTTCCTATTGCTCCACATCCTTGCCAGCATTTGGTGTTGTCAGTGTTTTGAATTTTGGCCATTCTAATAGGTGTGTTAGGGGTATTTCATTGTTGCTATAATTTGCAATTCCCTAATGACATACGATGTTGAGCCTTTTCATATGCTTATTTGCCATCTGTATATCTTCTTTGGTGAGGTATCTATTCAAATATTTGGCCCATTTAAAAAATTGGGTTGTTTGTTTTCTTATCGTTGAGTTTTAAGAGTACTTTGTATATTTTGGGTTATAGTCCTTTATCAGATTTGCCTTTTGCAAGTATTTTCTCCCAGTCTGCGGCTTGTCTTCTCATTCTCATGACAGCTTCTTGATCCAGTTTGACAATCTCTTTTAATTGGTGTATTTAGACCATTAACTTTTTAATTTTATTATAATTTATTTATTTATTTATTTTTGGCTGAGTTGGGTCTTCGTTGCTGCGTGCGGGCTTCCTCTAGTTGCGGTGAGCAGGGGCTACTCTTCGTTGTGGTGCGTGGGCTTCTCATTGTGGTGGCTTCTCTTTGTTGCAGAGCACAGGCTCTAGGTGCGTGGACTTCAGTAGCTGCAGCGCGTGGGCTCAGTAGTTGTGGCTCGTGGGCTCTAGAGCACAGGCTCTGTAGTTGTGGCACATGGCCTTAGTTGCTCCACGGCATGTGGGATCCTCCTAGACCAGGGCTTGAACCCGTGTCCCCTGCATTGGCAGGCAGATTCTTAGCCTGTGCACCACCAGGGAAGTCCTAGGCCATTAACTTTTAAAGTGATTATTGATATAGCTAGATTAATATCTACCATATTTGTTACCATTTTCTATTCATTGCTTTTGTTCTTTGTTGCTATTTTTGTCTTCAACTCTATCCATATTAAAAATGACCTCTACATCTGGAGAAAACTGTAATTTGAAATGATACATGCACCTCAGTTTACTGCAGCACTATTTACAGTAGCCAAGACACAGGAGCAACCTAAATGTCCATCGACAGAGGAATGGATAAAGAAGATGTGGTACATCTATACAATGGAATATTACTCAGCCATAAAAAAGAATGAAATAATGCCATTTACAGCAATATGGATAGATCTAGAGATTATCATACTGAGTGAAGTAAGCCAGACAAAGACAAATATCATATGATATTGCTTATATGTGCAATCTAAAAAAAAAAAAAAAAGACACAAATGAACTCATTTGCAAAACGGAAAGAGACACACAGACATAGAAAACAAACTTATGGTTACCAAGGGGGGCAGTGTGGGGAGGGATAAATTAAGAGTTTGGGATTAACATGTATACACTACTACTTATAAAATAGATAATCAACAAAGACCTACTGTATAGCACAGGGAACTACAGTCAACTATATTTAATGATACTCAGAGTACTCAATACTTTGTAAAAACCTGTAAGGGAAAAGACTCTGAAAGAGAATATATATATATAACTGAATCACTGTGCTGTACACCTGAAACTAACATGGCATTGTAAATCAACTATACTTCAATAAAAAATGATCTCTAAGATATAGTGTTATATTTGAAAAGTAAGCTGCAGCTGCAGAAGAGTATTAAATAATAACTTATCAAGCACTTAGTATGTGGCAGGCACTGTTTTAAGCACTTCACACGTATTAGTTCATTTAATTCCCAAACCATTATATAAAGTACTACTCTTTTCATCTTTTATTTTCTAAATAAGAAAACTCAGACTGAGAAAGTTAATATATTGCCGAATGTTACACAGCTAGAGGCAAAACAAGGATTCAGACTAAGAAGCTCTAGAGATTAAGCCTTTACCTATTGTACTAATGATCCCAGTTTTGTGAATTTATATATAAATATATATATATATATATATATATATATATAAATTCTGGAAGCTTACACACCAAACTGTTAAGAGTGTTCACCTCAGGGGGGTTTGATTGAGATTGTAGGAGATATTTATATTTCACTTTTTATACTTTTGTATTATCTCACTTTATTAATGAGCATTATTTTTAAATATAAAAATGATATTAAAATCTCCTGCTCTTTGGCAAGTGATCAAATCCACCTTAAACAGAACTCTGATCTTGGTCACTGGACCATGCAACTTACAATTGATGTTCTGTGAGGAGCTCACTAGTTGGAATGTAGAAAAGAGGGAATTCCTAGTTGAACTGTGTCTCCCCAAAAAGATTCTTTTAAGTCCTAATTCTGGATACTTGTGAATGTGACCTTATTTGGAAATAAGGTTTTGGTGGCTTGTGTTAAGAAATGTTTAGTGGATGCTTCTATGGCTCATGGGTTAAAATTTTTTTATTAAGACATAATCAAGTTAAGATATAGCACAGGGAACTCTACTCAGTGCTCCGTGGTGTCCTAAATGGGAAAGAAATCCCCGAAAAAGTGGATATATGTATATGTATAACTGATTCACTTTGCTGTACAGCAGAAACTAACACAACACTGTAAAGCAACTACACTCCAATAAAAATTAATTAAAAAAAGACATAATCAAGTTAAGATAAATGGTGAATCTTTGATTTTTCTTTTTATTCCTTTTCTCTTTTTCTCTCCTTTTAAAAAATGCTTAATCTTTTAAGATTAAGAGGCTCATCTAAGTTTTGTTAAGATAATGTATTCACAGTCCATTCAATGGCATTTGGTACATTTATATATATAAATATATTTAAAACTCTCTCAAAACTACTTTTTTTTTTGCTGTGTGCATTTTGCTAATCATAGTATAAAAAAGTCAACACCTTTTGTAAAATTTTCTACAGATTTGAAGCTCACCAGGTTAGTTTATACATGTTAAACAAATTTCTTTGATGTCAGATGTGTTAACTGCTTAAAATGTGCATATTTTCGCAGGGTTTTCAGGGAGCTATGTTAATTATATATTTTAGCTGTGTTGAATATTGCAGAATTCTCCATAAGAGAATATACAAATTTAATATATCTATCCTTAGTTATTTCTTCAGGCATTGTGGTGGACTCACCCTGTGGGGACCCCCACTGAGTCACATCTTTATAAAATTCCCTCCCCTTCAGTGTGATCTGCCCCTAACGAATGGAAGCAAAGGTGATGGGATGTCACTCCTGTGATTACATCATATTATATAATATTTAGCAGACTGGAGTGAGAGATTCCTCTGCTGGCCTTGAAGAAGCAAGCAGCTGTGCTGAGGATGCCCTCGTGGCAAAGAACTGCTATCAGTCTTTAGGACCGAGGGTGTCCTCCAGCCAACAGCCAGCAAAAAGCTGCACCCCTCGCACAGCTCTTAGGAAATAAATTCTGCAACAATCTGAATGGAAGCAGATTCTTCCCCAGAGCTTCCAGATGAGAACATAGTCTGGCTGACACATTCACTGCAGCCTTGTGAGACCCTGAGCAGAAAACCCAGTTAAACCATGCCTTGAGGGCTTCCCTGGTGGTGCAGTGGTTGAGAGTCCGCCTGACGATGCAGGGGACATGGGTTCGTGCCCCGGTCCGGGAAGAACCCACATGCTGCGGAGCGGCTGGGCACGTGAGCCATGGCCACTGAGCCTGCGCGTCTGGAGCCTGTGCTCTGCGACGGGAGAGGCCACAACAGTGAGAGGCCCGCGTACCACACACAAAAAAAAGATAAAAAAAACACGCCTTGATTCCTGACTCATAAAAACTGTGAGATAATAAATGTGTGTTGTTTTAGGCTGCTGATTTGTGGTAATTTGTTACCATACAATTTATTTATTTATTTATTTATTTTTGGCTGTGTTGGGCCTTCGTTCCTGGGCTAGGGCTTTCTCTAGTTGTGGCAAGCGGGCCACTCTTCATCGCGGTGCGCGGGCCTCTCACTATCGCGGCCTTTCTTGTTGCGGAGCACAGGCTCCAGACGCGCAGGCTCAGTTGTGGCTCACGGGCCTAGTTGCTCCGCGGCATGTGGGATCTTCCCAGACCAGGGCTTGAACCCTTGTACTCTGCATTGGCAGGCAGATTCTCAACCACTGCGCCACCATACAAATTTGTTACCATAAATAGAAAACTAATTCAGGTATACTTAAAATTTATTTTATTATGGAAAAGTTCAAACATATACAGAAGCAGAGTGAACTGTTTAGTGTACCCATCACCTACTTTCAGCAATTATCAACACATGGCCAATTTTATTTCATCTGTATTACTACTGATTACTCCTTCCCCAAATGTATTATTTTAAAGCAAATCCTAGACAGTCTATTATTTTAATCTGTAAATGCTTCAATCTGTATCTCTAAAAGATATGGCCTTGTTTTTCTTAAAAAATAAAAGCACAATATCATGATCACATCTAAAAAAATTCCTTAGTATCATCAAATATTTGGTTTGTCCCTTATGCACTGACGATGGGAATGTAAACTGGTACAACCACTGTGGAAAACAGTACTGAGCTTTCTCAAAAAACTAAAAATAGAACTACCGTGACCCAGCAATTCTACTCCCTGGTATATATCCGAAAAACCCCCAAAAACACTAATTTGAAAAGATACATGCATCCCAATGTTCATAGCAGCATTATTTACAATAGCCAAGATACAGAAGCCACCTAAGTGTCCATCAACAGATGAATGGATTAAGAAGATGTGGTAAAAACAAAAAAACAAAACAAAAAGAAGATGTGGTATACATATATACAATGGAATACTACTACGCTGTAAAAAACAATGAAATATTGCCATTTGCAGCAGCATGGATGGACCCGGAGGGCATTATGCTAAGTGAAATAAGTCAGACAGAGAAATACAAATCCTGTATGATATCACTTACATGTGGAATTTAATAAATACAACAAACTAAGGCATATAACAAAAAAGAAGCAGACTGACAGATACAGAGAACAAACTAGTGGTTACCAGCGGGGTCAGGAAAGGGGAGGGGGGTGAGTTAGGTGTAGGGGGTTAAGAGGTACAAAAATAAGCTATAAGGGTATATTGTAAAACATAGGGAATATAGCCAATATTTTATAATAACTATAAGTGGAGTATAACCTTTAAAAATTGTGAATCACTATATTGTACACCTGTAACTTATATTGTACAGCAACTACACTTCAATAAAAGAAAAAAATCTTTATTATGGTAAAACATACATATCATAAAATGTACAATTTTAACCATTTTTGGCTGTATAGTTCAGTGGCATTAAGTATGTTCACATTAAGTATATCACCACCATCTATCTCCAGAACCTTTTTATTTTCCCAAACTGAAACTCTGTACCCATTAAACAGTAACTTCTCCTCCTCCCTTCCTCCCAGGCTCTGGCAACCACCTCTCTACTTTCTGTCGCTATAAATCTGACCACTCTGTGTACCTCATGTAAGTGGAATCACACGGTATTTTTCCTCTTGTGACTGTCTTATTTCACTTAATAGGGACTCTACTCTTTTAAAAAAAAAATGTATTGAAGTATAGTTGATTTACAATGTTAATTTCTGCCGAGGGACTACTTTAAAAATATTTAATTTAATATTTGTGTAAAATATTTACACAATGATTATGATTATTATAATTTTTAAAATTGTGTAAAATATTTACACAATGTTTATGATTTTAAAAATTGTGTAAAATATTTACATGGTTCCAAGTCGAATTTGCAAGACAAGTTTCATTCAGAGAGGTCTAGTTTCTATTCCTGTCCCCATCCATACACAGGCAACCACTGAAATGTTTTTGGTTTATCCTTCCTTTGTCCCCCCATCCCCCCTGTTTTTGCTATAAGCAAACATATTTGTATTTATTCCCTCTTTCTTAAATGGTTGCATATAAGGATGGTAAGTAAATAACAGCATACCATATATATTTTCTCTGTCTTGCTTTATTCAATATTTATCAACATTTCATGGATATCATTCCTTATCATTATATAGAGATAGAAGTTCTTAGTTCTCATTCACCTTAACAGCTCTTAACTCATAATTCCTGATTTGTCAGATGTAATACTGACAATGTTTAGGACCACACTTGGAGGTTACATACCATATACTTTCCTAATACTTGTTGAAAATCTGTAGCAACTGCATTTGACGGAGAAAAATGTTCTTGTGACATCAAAGGGCTTCTCAGAAAAGTCTCACTAACCTGGGGAAATTAATGGAAATATTTAAATTATATAGATAATTTCAACTGGAGCATTACATAGCAAGTGTTTATTTGAAGCAAAGTCTGGCAGAAACTTGCAATAAATGAAACCAGAACAGTTCTAGATATTTGGTGGCAGGGTATCTTTTCTATTTTAAAGATGCAGTATTAATGAAAAGTGTGCTCATATCTCTTATCTCGTATCGTGAGATTGCAGGTGCTACCTTGATTCTTTGGTATTGGTATTTCTGAAGACTTGAGGGGACTTGCAGATGTTCACGTCTGGCAGACAAGGAAGGATAGGAGTCACTGATACTCTCTAAGTAAGTGCTTTTCATTTTCCCCTCCTGCTCTTACCCTCAAAATCCATTCAATGATAACAAAACAATCCCAACTAAATGTCATGAGACTATCTTCCAAACCCCATAGGGTTGTTATATGATATTTCAAAGCTTTAAGAAGGAATTCTGACAACTGTTTGTACTTAATGTTGTATCACCTGAAAAGCAGTGGTAAAAATCATGAAGTTAGTAATTTTGTGTCATCTGGTTTTGGAAAGTTGGATGTTTTTCCATAATGGCAGAGAGGGAAAAAAAAAATTAGAGTATAGTCAGTTAAATGGCTAACAGTGTTTATCATGTAGATGCTAACAATTGTCTAGGCATAAATGTAGAGTGAATTACAATATTAGGCCTTATAATCCTTGATTCTATATATGGTTACAGTTTGAGTTGTGTTAAAACAAGTTGGTACACTAAACAAATGAAATATATGCATAATGTGACTGAAGAATAACTATTAGTAACTATAGTACAGCTGACCGATTTTTCCATTAATATTTTTTGTTAAAATACTTTTCCTAAATTATACATTTGTGAATAAAATTGAAGATTAGTATTTTAAAATAAGAAAAAAACATACTATTTGGATCATAAAATTACCAGAATAATGGTTTAGCCCTAGTCTGTCTCTGAGACTGCCTTTCACAGTCTTATTCTAGTTGGAAGTTAGACACTGGGTGATAGTCAGCAGTAGATGATATCTATTGAGAAGATTAATTAGCCTTTCAGAAATTTATAAAATCTTATGTATCTGTATAAGTACATACACATAAGTACTCTATTTATCATATTTCATATTTGTTGGCAACTTTCAGGTAAAACGTTCTCTAAAAGTAGTATATCTTGATCAAAAAATTTGTTTTTTCATTTATCTCATAATTGATTCATATTTTCTGCCAGAAGTGTCTTATCTATAATTATTTGAAAATTAAATACATATGCTATTGAGAAGGTATATTAAATATTAGTAAAGCTTAATTTTTCTTATTTTTAAAGAACAAAGTAAATATGAGAGATTCCAAAGATGATCTGGGTTAATCATCTTTGTAGATCTTGCTTAAGAGTTAGGGGAATTGTAGAAGCAGAAGACAGATGAGGGATGAAGGTAAGAAATCTCTGAAGGTCACTAATGGCTCTGCTATATAGACAGATCTGCTTTTGGTTAGGGACATTATTACCAATAAACAGACCTCATGATTTCAATAACTGAAAAAGTCAAAGCAGTAAAAGAAATTACTTACATTTTTAAGAAATGCAGATGGTGTTACAGTATCTAAGGCATTGTCTGAGGCACACAGGTAAGTGATTCCGTCAATAAAGAGAGTATGGTAGACAGAGCTTTGAAAAGAATACATTCAGTTACATGATAATATTAAATGAAGTACTGATACAGAGAATTTAATTTTGTTTTCAAGCTCTCATTAATGTATAAAAACTATGTAGATAACTTTTTATAATCAGAATAATTAGATATCTTTCATACCTTTGAAAAATTAAACTATGTTAAATAAAAACTCTCTAAAATGTGAATATGCATTTAAAATTGCATCAATAAAAATAAATTACAATAGAGAAAATTCTAATAATCTAATCATATATATTTCACATGCCTTTGATGGAAGTCACTCTCATTCCAAGACTGAATCTAGATTCTGATCAAAGAGAAAATGCTATGTTCACTGATTTTTACTATCCTCATATTTTTAGGTAGACATATTTAATTTTGGCACTTCTTGGCTTTCTATTATGATAGATTAGAATTTGAAAGTTGTAAATTCCCAAGACCAAATATTCTAGAGAACAGGATGAGTCCGGGAGGGGGAATTAAACTCCCCTACAGTAATCCAGTGTAGCTTTTCCTGACCACTCCAACTTCTAGACCTTTTGTGCCTTCTCAGACTCACTTATTAGGAGGCTAGAAGACTCTTGGAAAGTGCTTCCATCTTTACTACCCAACAATCCAGAAAATTTAGGAATATGGCAACCAAAATAGTTGCCTGGTGCCTAGGCTTTAATCTAGTCATTTTTGAGCACCCTATATTCAAATGGTTAACAGGCAACAGACCTGTTCAAATGCTAAACTGGACAGATATGAGAATGAGGAATCTCAAAAATAGGTAGAAAAGATAATCCCAGGGGCAGAAAATTTAAGATATGTGCCCCTTCAATATAAATCCTTGATATCATATCATGAATACAATATGCTACAAATATTTTTAATGATATTAATTGACATGCATAATATCCACTAGGAAAATATTTTTATTTTTAAATAGAGAGGAGTCTTCACAGGAAAAGAGTTGCTAATTCTGTCATCTCTCCAAAAGTTATATATGTGATCTAAATTGATACTGGATGTGATTTTAAATGTATGCTTAGTGTGTTATTGGTAACACTCAGAAACCATCCTTAAATATTAAAAATCTTGAATACCTGATGACTAGGGTATATTGTTAACTGACAAATGCAAGATGGAGAAAAGTGTGTATGATGTACTGCAATTTATGTATCAGTCTCATTTCCTAACATAAGGGAAGTACAAATATATGTATGTGTCTTTTATAGAAAAAAAAGAAAAGGAAAATGGCAAACTAAGAACTTAATTCGAAATGGTTACCTACATAGAGGGAGAGAGAGTAGTGTGAAGAAAGCAATGAAAATTAGACTTTGTGAAGGAAACTCATTTTGTAGATTTGACTTTGGAGCCATATAAATGTTTTACATAATTACAAAATGTTATTAAATCAAACTTTAAAGAATGCAATCCTTAAAAATCAAAAACAAAATAATAAAAAAAAAGAACTTAACTTTATGTCAAGTCACCCAAGCAAGAGATGGTGGCAGAGGTGGTCAGATTCTGAATACGTTTGGAAGGTAAAGACAACAGGATTTGCTGATGGGCTGGGTTTGGAAGTAAAAGAGACCAAAGTCAAGGATCCTGAAGGTTTTAGGCCTGAGGAATTGGAAAGGTGGTCTGTGGAAGACTGCAGGAGGCGTGGCTTTGGACAGAAGTTTGAGATGCCCATCAGACATCCAACAGATATGTGGAATGAGCAGTTGGATATACAAGTCTGGAGTTCAGGGAAGAGGTCCTCAAAAGATTCAAATTAGAATGTTCAATATAGGTAAGCCAAGAGTAGAGGAGGAAAGAATCTCTTTTTGATATCATTCCAGCTAACAAATGAAAACAAAACTAGAATATCACCATTATGCAACCCCCAATAAATCAATGGCTCTAGGGTGTAGTCAATGAATATCAATGGCTACTAGCATGCCAAAAGGAGATATAAGCAGGTATTATATACCGTCTGATGAAAAAACACCTGCAGTCTTGCCAAAGGGATTAGGCCACTGGATCCAGCCGCTTGGACCATGGTGAACTGCATTTTGAATATGCAATCAGCAAAACCAGACTGAGGGAAACTCTATAGGTTCTTCAACAATAAATTGTAAGGAAAGAAAAGGGATGGAGGGGGAATATGTGGATTAAAGAGACTTAAAAGACACCAAATTAAAAAATGGGCAGGATTGGGCTCTCGTGCCTGAGGATGCTTATTTAGGTGCTGAGGCAATGAAGAAACAGGATAAGTGACTGCTACAGAATTTGGAATGGTGGTTGATTTGGGGGGGAGGGAGGAAACTGTGAATGGGGCAGGATACATGGTAGGGAGTTTTGGGGATACCTGGCAGTGTTCTATTTTTTGGCTTAGATGGTAGTTGCAGTTGGTTGGGGGAGGTCCTTTGAGAAACTTCATAAAACTATACATTTGCTTGATGTGGCTTTTGTATTTTGTTTTATTTTACAATATAAAGGTTAAAACAAACCTCCTCTTAAAAGGACAATGATGAGTCTAAAAATAATAGATCTCTCTTATTGCCCACCTGTTTTACCAGCAAAATGTTTACTTGGGACATTACATAGTTTAAACCATACCATGTGATGTCCCAAGTAAAGTAGAGTGATGTTATTAAAGATATTTTCAAGTGGAAGTTTCCTTTTTTATTAATGAAATATTTTGGGGATAACTAAAAAGGTATGGAGAATAAGATAACAGGAACACCTGTAGGCCTACCATCCAGTCAAGATGTTACAGATACAATTAATGTCCCCTGTATACACTTCCTCAATTTCTCCTCCCTTCTCTTTTGCAGAGGTAACCACTATCTTGAATTTAATGTTCATCATTCTCATTCATGATTTTATACTTTTACATATAGAAGTTCTCCTTTCTGAGAGTTCAGTCAAGAGTCTGTATAAGAAATATTTTTCCCCATGTCATTATCACTGTAATTATCAGCTGGTAATGATTAAAAAATAGACTTTTATTAGAATATACCTTACCTTCCCATTTGAATTATGGTCTTTGGTTCAGCTCTAAGAAGCACTAGTTTAAGCACTGTTGCCGCTGCTTCCTAAAAATAAATTGTCAGTATTTACTTTGTAGAAGATTGTAGTGTCTTTCATTACTCATCTGCTTAATTTACCAATGTTCTGTTTGGTTTATTAAGGAACAACTGTTTACTAGGAGAACTAATGGGTGGTTATTCATAATGCATGGTAAGAGGCAAGTTATCATGAAATGTTCATATGAATATGAAGGAAAATATTAAAATTACATAAATATACATATATTTTGTGTATATACATATAAGTGTGCAAATATAAGTTGCACTAATTAGTCCTTTTCACAGCACATTATTAATATGACTGGGAAGATATGTGACTATCTAATCAAATATCTTTTCAGTGACTTCTACGAAGCTATACATAAAATGTTAATGGATTAAAAGTATTCAGCTTTTAGTCTCTGAATAACCTATGCAGTCTTCCTTTTTTTAGATTAAGATAAAATTTTTACTCATTATTATTCACTGACATCTTTCTATTAAACATATAGTTGCTAAGATCCCTTCTACTTATTTCTTTTTTGTTTGTTTGTTTGTCTGCGTTGGGTCTTCGTTGCTGCACGCGGGCTTTCTCTAGTTGCGGCGAGTGGGAGGTAACTCTTCGTTGTGGTGCATGGGCTTCTTGTTGTGGTGGCTTCTCTTGTTGCAGAGCATGGGCTCTAGGCGTGCAGGCTTCAGTAGTTGCAGCACGCGGGCTTAGTAGTTGCAGCACGCGGGCCCTACAGTGCACGGGCTTCAGCAGTTGTGGCGCACAGGCTCCAGGCACATGGGCTCAGTAGTTGTGGCTTGCAGGCTCTAGAGCACAGGCTCAGCAGTTGTGGTGCATAGGCTTAGTTGCTCCGCGGCATGTGGGATCTTTCCGGACCAGGAATTGAACCCGTGTCCCCTGCATTGGCAAGAGGAGTCTTAACCACTGCACCACCAGGGAAGTCCCTACTTGTTTCTTATAAGGCTCATTCTTTGGGAGAAAATTTGCAAGGTATTATGATTATCCATAATACCTTAAATACAGTTAATTATATGGAATCCCATTAATTGACTTTAGAAGTGTGAAAGGAACCCGAAAGTTACCTAAGAAGACTTGAATAGCCACACTCCTGATTAACTTTTCATTTTCAAAAAATGACACTTGAAATAAAAACTTTTTGGGAGAGAAAAGCTTGTTATTAATGGTAGAGAGTAAAACTTGAAATTCTTGGTATTACCAGAAAAATCCAGGCAATATTCTCTAGGAAACGATTTCCTAAGAAACATTAAGGGAATTAAGAGAATACATAATCTTTCAGTTACTCTATTCTCATCACTGGAACATATTCCCCTACGCTTCCCAAAGTGTCCCTTTTAGAGTATATAAACTATGAAATCACAGAAACACGTGAAACAAAGCAAATGGCAACATGAGGCAGTAAAATAATTGACACACTGGACTGTAGTGCCATTTCTGGAGTTGAAGTGCTGCACAACCTAAGAAAATGAGTTGTCTGGGTCTGTTTCCTTGTGTGAAGAATGAAAGGATTGGGTAAGATGATCTCTGCAGTCCTGTCCAGTTCCATTTGATTTCATGATTAAGCTTTGGTAGATACTAATATTTTCTAATGAGTATAAAATATCTGTGACATTAATATTTAGCACTGAAGGAAGATATGATAGAACTGTGCCTTAAAGCTCCTTCTCCCTGGTCAGCCTTCCACACAGCAATCATTCCAGACCTTTAATCCTGTCCCCCAACTGCATACTGCTCCACCACCTTCCACTTTCTTACTTCCCTGCATGCTTCATAAAGAGAGGCCAATGGGCTTATAAACTCCTTCAACTTTCTGACTCTCTCCCTTCATAATTAATTAAGTAGTTATTGAGAACATACTAGGTCCAGGCATTGTCCACTGTAAGGACAGAGTTGAAAACAGTCCCTGTCCTGAAGGAGTCCGATGGCAGAGACAGATAAGTAAAAGAAGATTCCAGTTCAACCTGGCAAGTAGTTTGGTAAAGGGATGTAAATTAGCCTGGGCATAGAGAAGGCTTCAAGGAGGAATTGAGGAACATCTCAGAGCACAGAAGAGGTGACACTGCTAAAAAATGGAGACAAGTGGGTTCCGGGGAGAGGGAACAGGAGATTGGAAGGGAGATCTTGGTGAGACTGGAAAGCAGCATGAAGTTCAGGATGGCTGGAGCACAGGGACAGCTGGGGAAGAGAAGGAGGTAATCATGGGAGAGCCCTACCAGGGAGGGCTGTGAATGCCAGGCTAAGGACTATGAGCTTTACAATGAAAGTAATCAGGTGCCACCCAATGATTTTAAGCAGGGGAGTGACAGGATCATATTTGCTTTTAGGAACAATCCTCTGAGCAGCAGTGTGGAGGCTGGTTTTGAGAGGGACAAGGCTAAGGTCTGGGAGATGAGTTAGGAGGCATCTTCAATAACCCTGGTGAGAAGTAACAAGGGCCTTGAGGAAGATGTGGTTCAGAAACAAGGAGATGGATTCAAGATGTACTCAGGAGATGGAACTGATAAAACTTGGTGGCAAAGAACACATCTGAGGGTGCAGAAGAGGGAAAAATGAAAGATGACTCCCAGTTTCCAGCTTGAATGGCTTAGTAGAGCTGTGCGGCAAGATTAGAAATACACGAGGAGGAATCCGCTAGGAAAGAATTAATTTAGTGCTGGACATGATATGCTTGAACTTCTGTTAGGCAATCTACTCGTGGAAAGAGATTACCTTGAAAGCAGATTTGGCAGTGATCAAAATAAAGGTGTCCATTTGTGTGAACAAATGTGTCAAGTTAAAAGAGGACTAAAGTTAGAACCCTGAAGAACATGGCATTCAAGGGACTGGCACAGAGGAGAGCCTCAGAAGGAGACCGAATTCCATGTCTATATCCACACCTCCTCCTTTCCCCAAGACAGCATTCCTCTAAGCCAAGGCTCACATCACTACTGCCACATTGGATCCATCCCTTTGTGCTCCTTCGGGACTTGCTCTGACCAATAATCACTGCCCCTTATATCTTCAACCTCTTCTCTTCTCCATTAGCCTATATTCAGGTGAAGGTTTTCCCTGTATTAAAAAATGAGGCCCTTTCCTGGACCACACTTCTTCTAGCTTTCACCCTCTCTCATTCCCCTTCTAAATTCTTGAAAGAACAGTCTAACTTCACTCTCTCTACTTCCTGGTCTCCCGTTCACTTGGCCTAAAGCCATCTGGCTTCTTCTGCCTCTACCTCTACCACTATCAGTAGGATCACTTAACATTTCCTAATTGTCAGTCCAATGAACACCTCTTGGATCTTGTTCAAGTTCTCTGGGTCATGAGACATTTTTGTAATTTTCTTCTCTCAGCTTTCAGAATACCACTGGTCTCATTTGGTGACCAGCCTCTCTATTCTGTTCTTAACAGTGTTCTGCCTTTTGGTACTCCTTTCTTCTCACTTGGGCAATCCTACCCACTTCTACCATCTTTAACTGTTAGCCCTGACCCTCTGACTGCTACCTACTGGAACTTTTAAAGACTTAAATCTTTTGGGAATAAGATGGAGGAATAAACACACAAATAGATCGGCTATTTCCAACCGGCAACAAAATTCAAGCTGTCCCAAATTGTACTTCCCGCCCTTGCATTTCCTCTGACTTCTTCCCCCAGAATCCTGCCTCCATCTGTAGTTTCCATCTTGTTTAATGCCACCTAAGAAAAAAAGTTGACAAATCTTCACATTGTACACCTTAAACTTACAAAATGTTATATGCCAATTGTATCTCAATAAAGCTGGGGGAAAAAGATTAAAAAAAAAAAAAAAAAAGAATCATCCTAGGCATGGCCCTGTTCCCTATCCTAACATATCCAGCCAGTCATGAACTCCTGAGGATTAGTTTGCAAAGTCTCTTTAGGATCTGCCCACTCCTCTCCTTCTTCACTGTCCTTGCCTTAGCTCAGGACTTTAGAGCTCCTAGATAAACTATAACGCCACCATCCAAACTGGTTCTCTTCCCTCCAATCCCCCTTCTGTATTGTAACCAGACCAAAATTTCCAGTAAATGGATCAGATCTTGCTATTCCTCCATTTATAAATCTTTAACCGCTCCCTGGTTTCCCTTGGATAAGGGACACACTGAATATAGGACCTTTCATCAGCTATTCTCTGTCCACTTTTCTGACCTCAGCTTTAGCTCCTATATACTGCGATCCCGTGCTCTAGCCACACTGAGGTTATTGCGGTTCCCCCAAACACGCCATTCTGTTCCCTCTGCATGGAGTCCCCATTCCCCTTTCCCGTGGCAGGCTAGTGCTCACTCTTGTAACACTTTTAAGCCAAGCGCCTCCTCTGTGGTTGGCAAGCAGTCACGCATCCTGAGTGCTACAGGAGCAATCTCCATCTCCCGCCACTGAAATACTTTTTCCATTGGAGGAGAACGAATGCAGCCCTTGGGTACAAAAGGACAATGTGCTCATCAAGGGACAACTCCAGGCGCCGTCTTCTCTTCCTTGTTGCATCCCCTACACCCTTACCCCGGGATTTTGCAACTAAAACACGTTCAATAAATGTGTGTTGAACTCCAGGCCATTTCTCCGCGGGGGAGATAAAATCTTTAAAGGTCTCCGGAATTAAACAGGACTGCAAATCTCAACTATGTCTCGTGCAGCACCAACCCTAACCCCTGGGCGGCGCACTTGCGGCTCGGCCGGCCGGGAGCGCGAGGGGCTCACGCCGGGGATTCACCATCTCGCAAGCTAGGCCGTACGCGGGGGCGGGGCCTCAAGCCTCAAAAGCCCGCTCCGGGCAGCCCCTCGGCGCTCCGTCCTGAGGGGCGGGTCCCGTGGGCGCCACCCTCGAAAAGTGGAGCCTGCGAAGGCCGAGGTGACGACCCAGGGGTACCTGATAAGAGCCGCCGGTTAGGGTCAGCTCCGCTAGGACCTCTCGGCCATTTGCAATGCAGCTGTAGGCGATCGTCATAGTGGGCGAACTAGTGAAGTACAGGTTCCCGCCGGACCTAACCGCCCGCGACAGTCTCGGGACACTGGCTGGGGCGTGGCTCCGGGAGGGGCGGTGTCTGCGCAGGCGCGAGGAGCGATTGATTGGCAGGGAGGAAGGCGGGGCCCTCCCTTACCTGGGCTGAAACTGCGACGAGACCGGGCAAAGTCTCTGGAAAAACTGGCTGTGGTTAAGTGAAGTCTTTCTTCGTAGTCATCCTTAAAATCATTTAGGAGCCAGCTACTTCACAGTGTTTACCTACGTAGGATTCATTCTCAATCTGGGACACGTAAAATAATAGACCTTGATTTAAAATGAGATTCATTCATGAATTCAACAAGTACTGGCTGAACTCCCACTGTGCGCTCCCTAAGTGCTTGGACTAACAGGTATGCAAAAAGATAGGTTCCAGACCCTGACTTTTAGGAGTTCATGTTCTAGTAGTGGTCACAGAGGCACATGTAGACAAGTGCCAATCTCAAATGACAGGTGTGCACTATGATTGAAAGATACACTAATCGCACAAGCTGGAGTGGAGGCTGCTAGTCTCCCTGGGAGAGGGAGCAAAGATTTCAAAGTCACTGTCCGATGGAGAGGGTGGGTTGGAATTCTCTTAAATGGGGAGGAAAGGTAGGACAGTCTAAGCAGAGGGAACAGCTCTGTGAAGGCTTGGAAGAAGGCAGGCGGGTTCAGGGAATGGATGTGAGTGTGTGGTAGAGGGAGGGTGTGTGGTGGAGTGGGTAGGAGATGAGAAGGGTAGGAGTGGTAGAATGACTTGTTATCCTAGACCTCGAGTTTCTTGACAAGAATTTTTAAAAGTGCTTCAGATAAGCTTAGATATTTTCTTTTCTTTTTTTTTTAAACATCTTTATTGGAGTATAATTGCTTTACAATTGTGTGTTAGTTTCTGCTGTATAACAAAGTGAATCAGCTATACATATACGTACATCGCCATATCTCCTCCCTCTTGTGTCTCCATCCCACCCTCCCTATCTCACCCCTCTAGGTGGACACAAAGCACTGAGCTGATCTCCCTGTGCATAAGCATAGATACTTTCATTAGCAAGACATTGTGGTAGAGTTGGAAGAAGTCAGACACACTTGGATCCAAAATATAGGCATCGCCATCTACTCTGTGCCTTTATCATAACTTAACTCTCTGAGACTCGGTTTGCTGATTTATAAAATAGGGATAGTTCTCAAGTTTAAATTAAGTAATTATGCAAAATACTTAGCATACCATAGATATGTAGTTGCAGTCTTTAGTATGATAAATACATTAATGACAATTACTTGCTTCCAGTGGTGTAACTTTAAAGGAAAAACAGTCGACGTCCTTCTGGGGTGCCTGGCAGGAGGTGAAGACAGGTAGTTGACTGAATTTATTTTAACCCCGTACAATCAAGCTGTATTTGACAAGCAAGCAGCAAAACTGGTCTGGACTGTAGCGCTTGAGAAAAATGCCTTGTTGAATCATTTTATATAAAGGAAATCTTGAACCAATGTGTCTTATCAACTTAGAGATAATATCTCGTGTTACAGGTGGGTTGACTGAATTACAAGCACTGGTCACATTACTTATATGTGGGAAAATGAAATATGTTAATTCTGAGGTAATGCACTGGTATATTCTTGCTTGCTGTAAAAATAAGCTTAGTAAACTTGGCCACATTGCGTTGCTCCTTCTGTTTAGTAAATAGTGGAGCTGAAAGCCACTGGGCAATGAAGTCATGAGCTGTAGCAACAACAACAAGCATCGGATAATTGGAGAGGTGTATATGGGACTGTCCCCCTCTTGGGCTCACCTTATATTAAAACAATCCTGTGAAGCTAGTGTGGTGGGTCAACTTTGCACAGCCCACAGATTCCGGCCTACAGCAACGTAAAACATAATTTATAACACAACTCGACCTTTCTCGTGAGCCTCATGTTACCCAATATCTGAGCTTAATCTAGTCAGTGCGAGGTGTCCTCAGTGAACTCAGAATTTCCCCTTCCCTTCTTTCTACATGGGGGGGGGGCATCTATGTGTGTGAGGAACTTGGTGGAGGGGAGATCTCCTGAGTCATGATCTTTGTCTCTATAAGGTGGCATCTGCTGCTAATGTTTGTTTTCTGTCTGTGGTCATCAGTTCACATGCTCTACTTGGAACCTGCAGGCTCCCTCATGCACTCTGGCTCTCTCTCAACCGCTTTTGTGGCCCTCTTAGGGGCAAAGGAAACTTTCTGCTGCTCCCTCGTGGCATTCTGAGGCTTTGGGAGGTTCAAGAGTCTGTCTCAGGACTCTGGCCAACACAGAATGCTGCCACCCCTCCCATCATGCTGTCAGTCTGTTGTCATGGGGGAGCAGCTCTCAGACTTTACCTCACCTGGGAAGCAAGCCCTTGGATCCCCAGTTGGCTGAGAGTCTTCTCATTCCCACACTCCATCACCCCACACATCTCCCAGCCGGGGCTCTGTGGCTGGATTGCTTCCTATGGACCCTCTGCCCTCCTCCAGCCTGGGGAGACTCCAGCAGGTCCAGGTGGGGAGCTGCCCACCCTTCAGGCATTCTTCGCAATTTGTGGCATTACTGTTGGCTTCTGCTGTGGCAAACCTTTTCTTTCCATGGACTCTCTGTTTAGGGAGTTTCCGAAATCTATTTTGAAAGATTTAGAGCTGAGAATCTTTTCCTTCTCTCCCCGCTCTTCATCCTCTGTACCTCCTTCACCTCCTCCTCCATTTTCTTTCTTTTCTTTTTTTTTTTTTTTTTTTCGGTACGCGGGCCTCTCACTGTTGCAGCCTCTCCCGCTGCGGAGCACAGGCTCCGGACGCGCAGGCTCAGCGGCCACGGCTCACGGGCCCAGCCGCTCCGCGGCACGTGGGATCTTCCCGGACTGGGGCACGAACCCGCGTCCCCTGCATCGGCAGGCAGACTCTCAACCACTGCGCCACCGGGAAGCCCTGTTTTCTATTTTTATGCAAAAGGAATAATTGAGAATAAAACCCACAGCAGGTAATGTAAAACGGCACAGGTATTTCTGTCTTTCCCTTGATAGTTTGGCAAAATCTTGAGGGTGGAGCAGAAAGAGAAGATGGGCCCCTGGGAAGGAGAAGGGGGACATTTCACTTTTGTCCATTTTTTTTAAAACAAGCTTTTAGACCTCATGACTACTTTCATGGACTGGCAAATCTACTGTCATTGCTTTTTAGAGACTAGGATCTCAGAAGGAAAAGTCACTAATTTTGAATCATCCAATTTCTTAGGTGACTAGAGAGTTTCCGAATATTCCACAAGCTGGGGACTTTCAAGCACTCACTAATTCAAGATGCTTCTTGTAAAGTATTAAGTTCTCCTGTAAAGGGCTATTCTTTTACTTATTGTTTTTCAAAAATGGAAATATGTTTATAGTTTTTTTTCTTGTAGTGAACAGGGATCACTGTTGAAATTCAAACAATACAGCAGTAAAAGTCTCCTTACCATCCCATGAAAATAACCATTGCAGTAATCTAATTTATATTTGTCTTTTCTTTGTTATGCCTTTTATATTTAACATTAATGAATAACATATTTTCTGAACTCTGTTTTTTTTTTTGACCGTGAGGTGCTGTATGCAGGATCTTAGTTCCCGGCCAGGGATCAAACCTGTGCCCCCTGCAGTGGAAGCAAGGAGTCTTTAACTACTGGACCGCCAGGGAAGTCCCTGTTTTCGGTTTATTTATTTATTTATTTATTTATTTATTTATTTAATTTATTTTTGGCTGCATTGGGTCCTTGTTGCTGCTCGTGGGCTTTCTCTAGTTGAGGTGAGTAGGGGCTACTCTTCACTGCAGTGCATGGGCTTCTCATTGCAGTGGCTTCTCTTGTTGCAGAGCACGGGCTCTAGGCGCACGGGCTTCAGTAGTTGTGGCTCGTGGGCTCAGTAGTTGTGGCTCGCAGGCTCTAGAGCGCAGGCTCAGTAGTTGTGGCGCACGGGCTTAGTTGCTCTGCGGCATGTGGTATCTTCTCGGACCAGGGCTCGAACCCATGTCCCCTGCATTGGCAGGTGGATTCTTAACCACTGCGCCACCAGGGAAGCCCTGTTTTGTTTTTTAAATGAATAATACAGTGTTCTTTGACTATTATATATATATCTCAAATATTTTCTTCTGAAGTTTTCCATTTTCTTTTTCTTTTTGGTGTCTATGCTTTTCCAGACATTTTTGTTTCTTACCTCGTCAAACATGTCAGTATTTTTTTATTATGATCTTGGGCCTTAGTGGCATGTTGTGCAAGGCTTCGTTTTCTGTCTCCATATAAAAATATTGCCTTATTTTTTTTTTCTGTTTCTTTTGCTTGTTTTACTGTTTAAATCTTTAATCCACCTGGAATTCGTTTTTTTGTCTCTTGAAAGGTAGGAATTTGTTTTCCCAAATGTACAGCCAGCTGTTTTGTACCACTTACTGACTACTTTCCCCACTAGTTTTTGTTTTGTTTTGTTTTGTCTTTTTAAAATTTATTTGGAGGCACCGGGTCTTAGCTGCAGCACGCGAGATCTTTAGTTGTGGCATGCAGGATCTAGTTCCCTGACGAGGGATCTAACCTGGGCCCCCTGCTTTGGGAACTTGGAGTCTTTACCACTGGACCACCAGGCAAGTCCCTCCTCATTAGGTTGAAATGCCACTTTTACCACAGACTAAACTCCCACATGTACATTGTTAATTAGATTTTAGAGTTGACGTATAGGTCTATTTCTGTGCTGATATCACAGTGATTCAATAACGGATTCAATAAAGCAAATTTACTTTTTAAATTTAACAAATTGGAGGAATTAATATATTTGCAATATTGAGTCTTTTCAGCCAGGAACATCGGTTGACTTTCTATTTGTTCTATATTATATCTTCCTATAAAAGCTCTGTAAGTTTCTTCATAAAGGCTTGACAAATTTTTAAATGTTTATTCTGGGGTACTTTGGGTGCTCTTGTTAGTGGAATTTGTTTTCCATTATGTTTCCAAACTAG